TTAAAGGTCAGAGGTTATTTGTCACCGAATGTCACTGCATATCTTTATCATTGGAAAGCGTCTATTCAGTCTGCTCTATCATTGACAGGCATGTAACAGTTGTTCAGATATTTCTACGGTGTGTTAACCAGACCGGTCTACATAAAGTTTAAGTAGTTGGTAAAAGTTGGAATGAATAAATAGCCTTTGAATTAAATTTTTTTGAGGGGGTTGTGGAGATTTGGAAATATTTCAAGTTGTTATTCATCGGAGACTGACATCAGTTGGAGGAACAAAGGAAAACTGGGAGCACTGGACAGCTGTTTCGTCCTAGTATGGGACTCTTCAGCAGCGCGCACCCACGACCCCACCAGCAGGGACCGAACCCGCGACCTTCAGGTTCCGCGACCAGCGCGTTACCACTGAGCCACTGGGTCAAAATCCAATGCTCCATATTTCTAACTTCTGTTAGCTCACGATACAGGTTTCCTTTGTTCCTCCAACTGATGTCAGTCTTCGATGAATAACAACTTGAAATAGCCTTTGATTTATCGTTACTGTTTATTCAAACCGTCTTGAATAGTGTTCAAACAAACAAAAAAGAATGTGAATATCTCGTTATGTATCTGTAACCTTGAAGTTTGTTTTTGTCACCCTTTACCTGATTGATAAGTAGATTAATTGGTGTAATGTGATATAAGCCTTCTGTAAGCAGTTAATCAGACTATCGTCACTACGTAACGGTACAATTTATCACATTCCATATAAGGGTCAACATCAACACAAGACAAGGCATTACTGCTAAGTGGTCCAAGTTGCTACACCTCATATCACCACATCAAACCAGTAACCACTGAGATGAACTGTAAAGAAAAGTCTATCCAAAGCAGTGGAAAGTACTAAAAGACAGGAGGAAGGAATAAGAAAATACTGAATTCAATAAAGAGGTTAGGATTTACATAGTATATGGATTCATCTGCTCCACTGACCGATTCTGAGCTATTTCACCTAGAGCCTCCAACCATTGGTTTCTCCTATTACTCAGACCCAGACCGCATAGTCTACTTTCCCCATACACGGTCCAACAGTCAGTGGCTTCATGGGTTGCCATCATGTTTTAGTCTGACCGCGCCTAACTTTTTTGCAACCTGAACATACTTCAGCCAACATTGTGAGATGAGACACACGGTGGTGACTGGCATGCATAACACATGTCCCACCCATCTTAGTTAATGATGGTTCGTGGCCTTACCAACTGAATTTCCTCTACTGTCTAAAACTCTACGCCTGACTTCTGTGTTACTGACATGATGACAATACAGCACACGGCCCATGCTACGAAGGTAATGATGGTCAAACACCTCAAGCCTCTTGTCGTCTACCTTTAATGGCCTTTTTTCACAGTCATACAGTAGAACAGAGTGAACTGCAGCACAATACCCTCAACCCTTAATCGACAATCGGATAGTATATGTGTCTCCCTGTATTCTGTATAACCCGTTTGCAACATTATGCATTTGCTTATTATTCGCGTGATTTCGTTTCTAATTGTTTAACAAAGATTAAATTTTTTTTATGGTTTACTTACCGAAGCAAATCTACTCACTTTCGCAACCGCAACAAGGCAAAAACACACAGCTTATCACTTCCCAATAGACAATGGATAGATGATCAATTAATTAAAGCTTATCTCCAACTACATTAGGAGAACATAAATATCAGTCATATGAGGCGGCATCTTTTCCCCTTGACTGAGGTCTTCTGTGTTATAGTGTAATCTGGAAGCAGGACCGTCAAGTGACATTTTCGTCATCATCTACCTGCTGTGAAGTATAAATACTAGTTTTCCAAACAATGGATATCTCAAATAGTCAGGATGATAATCAATATTATGTTCCCCCACTCTAATTCAGTTAGGTTTGGATTCTGATGAGAAGTCCTGACTTGGCAGCCAGTATGAATATGATCAAGCGGCAGTAACACGTCATGAATTCACATGGTAGTCAGGCAAACCCGTTGGTGATTGAAGTGAAATAAAATCTGATCAGTAGTCGGGTCTCATAGCTTAGTTAGTAGAGCATTGGGCCGGAAACCCTTTGGTCACAGGTTCGAATCCGGCCGCGGTCCAAATCTTTATTTCAACTTCAATCGTCACCCAGTATAAAAATAATAGTCCAAAATAAATATACCAACCTGAAACTTAACACAGAAGTACATAAGTTCAAGTTGTTACAATTAACAAAAATATATACGGGTACATATCAACAAAGTCAGAAAGAAACGTTGAATGAATACGCCTATTGAATTGCATTATTTCAACTTTATACAAGTTGATAACGGTTCTATAGAGGTTAACATAATTTCAAGTTTAACATACTTAACAATATTATTAAAAAGTAGAGAATGGCAAAGGGGTTTCAAAACTTAAACCATGTTGAGAAAAGATGATATCTGCTTAAAATTTGTGTAATAATTGTAAAAATCTCATGATGAAAGTATTAGTTAATTGGATATTAGAGTTCAGTGGGAAAGGAATAAAAACTTGAGTTTCTAATCAGCAAAACAATAACCGTAGGATGAAGATAGTTAACTACTAGATCTGTTTCGAATTTTGAAGGAATGATATAAGGCGACTGAGAACAAGTAAATGTCAGATGCGAAGACATGGTGAGAAGTGAATACGTCTGTGGGTACCAAACATCCACCTAATCCTGCATTTTAATTTTATGCACATGCTTGTTTGTTCAACTTATTACACTGCTCAATAGTACAGAAAGAAAACGCTATCAGAGTAGAATAATATTGAAGCAAGTGAGTAAGATGTTAGTTGAATTGGAAGCAATAGGTATGGAGTAACAAGATATCATAGCTTCACAAAAAAGGAAGGTGAATGCAATGACACCATTCTTTTCGATTTTAGAATATACAGACAAACATTGTAGGATGTTACATTCGATTTACATCTCATCATAGACGCTCATTCACTGACTTATAATCATATCGAGGAACCTATGCAGGTAGCCAACACTTCTCTACAAAACTCATCTCTTCTGATTGGTCTGAATTATTGATTTTCCGAGGCCTCAAGAAATGAGGGAAATCCTCTTGTTTTAACCTCAGGAGAATCAGTCTGAGGAACATAAGGTCTAAGGTCGTAGGTTCATTAACCAACTAATTCTTCATCCACTCTCCGCCAGGTTCTGGAACACAGACACAGTTAACAACGCCCGACACTAGCTACATTTCTCGACTTCAAGGCGGCATTTGACCCCGTCGACCGGAGGTCTTGTAGTAGTCTCTTTTACTAGAAGAGATGCCAAGCAAGTACATCACCTTGTTCATGTCTCTATATCTGAACACTTTTTGGTGTATTAGAGCTTGCTGTGAGTTGTGTATGTCGAATGATGTTCGTCAAGGATGTCCACTGTCTCCAGTGTTATTCAATTTTATCAGAGATATGCTTACGGAGGTCTCTATCGTCACCTGACTTCACACATTAGACTTATCACAATAGAATCCTTCGTAGATCTAAAGTACGCATATAGCATGGTCCTGTTAATCAAAGACGCTGACAAGATGCAGATCAGAATGTTTGGGATACGTTTTATCGCCACCTAAATGCAAACTGTTGGTCTCACACCAGGAAGTGAAATGGTTGAACGCGTTTACCATCTCACTTACCTGAGAAGTTGCATCAGTCCTGATGGGTCAGTGGCCGACGAAACCTCCACACAGATACAAAAAGCTCGATTGGCTTACGCCAAATTACTCTGCTTAAGGTGGTGCTGTGATATCCCATTATCTGTTAAGAGTCAAGTGGACTGCGCTACAGTTCACCTTGTTCTTTTATCTGACTTTGAAATGTGTTCATCAAAGTTGGGGGACATAAGAAGGCTTCAGGTGTTCGACCACCATTAGCTTTGTGGCATAGGCCGTTTGAAGTCGTTCTACCACGTCAGTAACGCAGAAGTCAGGCATACCGTTTTAGGCAAGTGAGAAAAGCCAGTCTATGAGGTTGTGAACCGTCATCGACTCACGTACCTGTGACGTGTGTTAAGTATACCTAGTCGGCGTCTGCCTCATCTTGCTATCTTGGCTGAAGTAGGTTTAGGTCGCAAAAAGGTTTGACACGGTCAGATTAAGACATGACGTCAGTCCATGAAGTCACCGACTACTGTTCTGAACCTTTGTAGGGGAATGTAAGCTTCACGGCTGGGATCCATGTGACAACATAAACCAATGGCTGGAGACTTTAGGTGATATCCATCGGAATCGATGTCAGTGACCCAGATGTATCCACATATTATTTTCATGTAAGTTGTCATACTGATTTTCATTATCCTCTCGTTCCTCCCTTATGTTTTTTTCACGGCTGTTTTCTTCATTCCTCTTTCATCTTAGTGCATTCTGGTTTGATTTGGTGATACGAGGTGTAGTAACTGGGACCTTTACACCTTTATTTGTCTATTTGTCTACACAATTCAGAACAACTATTCACTTCATGGATTAGTGTCCACTGTGTAGTTTCATCACAGATGAAAGATGCTTCGAAGGTATCTATAATCAGAAACCTTGTCTCAACTTCAAAGTAGGGCAAAGCAAAATACTGTGTACAGTACACTCGTTCTGTGATAAGCAGTCAAATGTCTTGTATATACCAAGGTCACTTAAGTGAATGAATGTTAAACAAACGTATATTTTTGTATCAATAATTTTTTTAAGCGACCAACTCAGAGTTGATGCCTTATCATAAATAAGCAAGATGATGGTTGCACTGAACCACTTCATCCTCTAATTTAGTTTAGTCTTTGAAGATCACCTTTAATTTGAAAAAATATGAAAATTAGGAGCTCTACAGTCAGGGGAAAATATTTATTTATTCTTTCTTAGACTGTTTGAAATTGTCACCTTTCAGTTAATATTGGAATATGACATAATGCTATCGAATGGATTTTATCACATATCTTATCCTTGACTATCTGTTTATTATCATTCTTGTTTTGTTCATCTTATTTTTCTAGTGCTAAACGTAAAGGTTTGAAATTGAAAAGTCTGAAAGAAGATGAATTATTTCATCAAGAAACAGTGAAAATGGCATATATTGAAGTTAAATCATTCAATCATATTTTACAGTGTAATAAAAATAAAAATACAGATTTGTTATATAAAGATGATGAATTACTGAGTAAATTGGATTTGCCAAGTCTTCCAGGAGATAAAATATCAGAAATCGATTGTTTCGCTTTTGATATTTCTGTAAGTTTTTATTTCTGTTTAAATATTCACTTCACTTATTTTCAACTGTAATCATAGAAGGATAAGACTTCAGCACTATGAAATAATGCAGTCAGCAGAAATTATTTACATCTCTAGAATAGATGTTGTATCATCCCTGTTACATATATTGGTTGTTAATTCGATGGAAAAAGTTACAGTAATCACTCCCTTTCTCATCCTACTGCAAGTATTTATATTATTGTATACATTGTAAAATGAAGCCTGTAAAAGTAATACTAGTGCTCAGCAATTACCCTCCAGAGTTTATTCCGAAATTTGTAAGAACATAGGAAAATAAGTGTGGCGATACTGTAAACAGTAACTGCAGTACAGCTAAAAAAAAAAGAGACCAATACTTATGTGTAAGAAGGAGTGTTAGAGACTGGACGCAGAATCCTTAACAAGTTTAGAATAAAGATAACATTCAACTCTACAAACTGACTTGGAAATAAACAGTTTCAGCATAAGGTTTTTATTCAAAATAACGATCGAGCCAACAGACCAAGATAAGTTATCATATCAGAGATTCAGAACTTAGCTAGATTTAAAAAATAGATCTCTCCTAGATTAAACTCTTTGGCAGGAAATGTCAGCCATCGTAGTAAGCATATGGCGATAAACATTCATCAGATAAAGCAACAGTATTAAAGACCGATAAAGTTATTTCTGTTTATTGATATAGTTGTAATTTGCCGTTGTTATACTGGATGGAATTGATCAGGATACGGGATCCTGTGCGGATGCCTCCATATTACCTGAATATTTATTGTTATAACTGACTTGATTGTGACTAGTAGTGGAATCCAGGATGTGCGTTTCCTCCTATTTCGGACTTGCCAGCTGAATGTATCTCCACCCCAAATAGGGATGTTGTTCCCACTGAAACTCGAACCTCATACCCGCCACTTCAAACACCAAAGCGTTATCCACTAGGCTACAGAGGTCACTAAGTTGGACAAAACGCGCTTCCTGGATTCCATCGTTAGCCACAACCAAGTCAAATATAATGACATTAGTTATGTTCAGAAAAAGATTGGGCACAAATAATGATTATGCAGTATCGAAAGTTGTGGGACTTCTTTCATGGGATAATACCCAATATATTATATCCATTGTAATGCTGTCCTTTTTATAATGCGGTAGGTACTGTGTACTATATCAAACAAACAAATCTTGAGTATTGTACGAATGACATATTTCTTATGATATGATTTAGTACTCTGAACTTATATGAGCAGTTATATATCTCTGACAACAACCACTAATACTGACTAGATATGGTGAGGGAATATAAACAATGGATAGTCATTTTGCTTGTTTTTGGAGTTAACCTTACCAGAAATGTGTCTGCATTGGTTAAGATGAGAGTGTTGAGTTATTCAGAGGACTGCAATATGAACTGTTGAGTCGTACAATGACATCTTATCCTCAAAAAATACCTAGTTGTATCCGACGTCATTAAATCATTATCACTCCAGATTGTGTATTTTGCAAAATCATTTTTTGTTTTTCTGTATTGTGGTAATTTCTGCAGCCACTTTGCTGAAATCAAGTTTAAGCTGTACTAAAACGTCAGGGTATCCTTTATCATTAGTTCACAATATTCGAAGGGAACCTAATCGCAAGGCTTACACTTCCCAAACTGACTTACAAATAGTCAATCATCGGCGACTTCCTTGGGTTTATACGTTATCCTTTAGTGATTCCATTGAAGCTTTCTCCTCCGCTATACGCTTAATTTATTTATAATAAGATTGAGGTTTAACGTAGTGCTTTTCAGTAAAAGCTTGAAGTGAGTGTTCACGCCTGTTTATGTACATGTGTACCTAAGTATCTTCTTTGGTTTATGCATATGATAACCAAAGCTAATGAACAAAGTGATCTGATCTGCCTCCATCTACTGTTAAACATGCTATAACTTTTATAGGTTTTATTCTATGTAGAAGTGGCTTCCATGAGGTCACGAAATGTCAGAAATCTATTTTTATACCTTATTAGGATTTGACATAGGAATAGACAATGTGAAGTTGGTTACCCTCCAGTGGTCAATCAATGTATGCAATCCAGTCCTACAGGAGGTAAATCGCGGCCTGAATAACACAGTGGTAACGTCTCTGACTGAAGCACTGAGTGACGCGGGTTTTGAATCTCAGGTGGGATATTAGTTCCGTCGAGATTGCAGGCATTCCTTGTTGACGAGTACCAAAAAAACACGAAACCCAGGTCAAGCATGGCTTCCTGTTGATTACCTCTACCCAACTAACATCTCTCTCAGCGCCTTGCGATAATGAGTCGCCTAGCTTGGTGACCAAACTGCAAAGTGGTCAATAGAATTTGATCAGCATATAGGACTAGATAACATGAAGTTGTCCATTGACCAAGTAATGTAAACAAAGTTCACACTGTTGGGAAAGTCTTTTTTAGTGAATCTACGTGATTTCACAAAAATTGCCGTAATGACTGTTTGTTTACTCGCCATTGCATTATCAATCATAAATTTCATCAGTGTATTGTACAAATAAATGAATATTCTTAAAATATGGTGAATAAACTTGATAAAATTGCGTCTATTTACTGTTGAATGTCATTTTTAATTCATGGGTGACGTTTCGGCTCACTGGCTAAATGATTCAACTTTCAAACAATAGGTCCCCGATTCAAATCCCACTGTACCTACTTCGATCTGAGCAACTGGACAGTTTCATAGGTCTTCACATAATAACTGTGACTTACTGCCTTATGCATGAGCACATGCATCGACTTGAAATTGGAAGTTCTGTTCAAATCATGCGAATCCAGATGTTAGCAAATGTAGTTTCCCAGCTGTTTATGCTTTCGCAACGAAATGAATTGAAATCCACCCAGCAATACCATACATGTTTGTGCAGTTGAAAATGACCTACCCAGACCTCAGCTAATGGAACAGTGTTTAACCTGTGATCCACTATCGGAAAGTCTAGTGTCTACGCTAATGAAACACGTCTCCAATATAAACTGGATTAAGATTAGGTTCATGAGTGACGATGGTGACTAGATGAAGACATAACACTAAATAAACCAACGTAAAAAAATCTATAACTCCTTCATTTTCTATCATTCCCATTACTTCTTATTTCATTTTTATGCTTATATGTATCTTCACAATACTTTTTGGTTCAAACATTTATTCATTCACATGGTGTGTATACCAAAAAACCCAGTTTATCTGGAGATGATTGTGGGCCTGACACTACCTTTCCATGATTTCATCATTCGAATCGAGTCGAAATCCATTCAGCAATGAGCCAAACCTATTGTATGAGGGCTAGTAATACTACTTCACTGCCTAAACCCTGATTGGTGAGGCGGTGTTCGATCCCGTGACCTACTGACTAAAAGTCAAGCACCGAAACCAATGAGTCCCAGGTCCACGATTCTTTTATTAGCCTTTTTTTAACCTAATCATCACACACGTAAAACATGAGTAAATGATAATGATATGAATCACGAGTATTTAAATAAAGTCTTCGTTTGCCACGAAATTCGAGTCAATGTTACTTGGATTACCTATCTAATGATATATCACCTGGGCTACGATATATAAGAGCTAAGAGAATATGATTTCAAAGTAGATTTCATCATGCATCAGTGTGAACTAGGCAAGCATTAAAAATTAACGAGGACTCTGCGACTTTTTCGTCCTAGTTTGAAACTCCTCATCAGTAGCGAGTGATTTACAATCGTCGGATCACCTGGTCAGCAAATTACCATTATGCAATTGTTGCCAATTGTTGTAGGAAGTTGAATTTCAATCAGTGGGTCACAAACTCGAGGTTTGCATAGCCCTCATACAATAGGTGCTGCTCATTGCCTACTGCACGAATGTACACTAGTCTGCTGAATCCATGTTTTTTGGAAATTATCATCTACTTACTGGTATGGAATCCAATTTTCCAATTTTTCACATTTCAATACGCAATAATATAGCACGGACATCATATAATTTCACCGGTTAGTACTTATTTTCATATCTGACCTAGTTAGCATAAAATGTTACGACTTTGCCGCACATACATAATTTCTTTACGCATATGAATTCAGTAGCCAACACAATCAAATTCACCCATGAGAATTGGAAAATAAATAGTGAAGCAGCACAATTAACGATGTCCAATTGCAGATTCAAACGAAAACAAAATGCCAGTTTAGACACTTGTGTTCACAGAAAAAAACTTCACACTCCAGTCACTACTTTCACTTTAAATTATCCCAGTTAAATTTAGCTCACCAATATGTTCAATTAACACGGCCAGAAAACTTACTTGTAAAATAGAAGATCTAAGACAAGAAACCAGATACATTGAGGACACCTTACTCATCAACAATTACCCTCCCAAATTAAACTGAATTAATAAATCCCTTAGGGAACGTAGTAAAACTACGACAAATATTAATAACACGGGTGGTAACAGTAGTGATAATAATGTTTATAATGGTAGTGGGAATACTGTGAAGAAAGAATTCAAAACCTCTACAGTATTGTGATACATAAGGCTGGAATTAGAATGGTATGTAAATCTACAATCTCACTCACAAATAAACTTTGTAGGTAGAATGATCCTACTGATCCAACTAAGCAGAATAATTTGACTTACCACATCCCTAGTTAGAACTTCGAGTCGAATGCATAGGTCAAAGTAGTCGACCACGTTCAATTAGGCTGTTTCAACACAAAAACCTAATCAAATCAAAATTGGTAGATCCATAGTTATGCATGTGATGACACACCAACACACAATCAGATGGGATAGTGTGATTATCCTTAAAACTAACTTGATTGAGGTGGAGAGATTGATAACTGAATCTTTGTTCATCGAATCAACACCTAATACATGTAACATGAATGACTGAGAACATGTTCCAGATATGTGGAAAATCTCACTATCTATATTACAAAGGGATGAAATAAATTAGGACCATATAAAGGATGTCTCAACGTT